CCCCAAAACCCCAAAACCCCAAAACCCCAATATGAATAAAATTTATTGAGAGTTGAGAAATAATAAATGAGTGAGATTGGATTAGCCAAGAAACATAAGAAATTAGCTATTAAAAAGCAGAATACTGGTAACAAGACAAACGGAAAAGTAAATGATAAATGCTCATCTTTTAAAAATCATTCTCAGCATTATCTGTGTATATAGAGTTTTTATGGATTAATCTTGATATGTACTTAACCATATTTTGTATAATATACACCATAAAACAAATAACTCTCTTATTCCTAAAATTCTGATCAAAAACTCCTTAAAACCTCCAAAAATACCCCATAAACCCCCAAAAATTCTCTTCCTACCCCCAAATCCCTAAAAAATCCCTCTAAAAATTTTACCCCCACTAATTCCCCCAAAATTTCCCAAAACCAGGCTCAAAGCTCCAATTCCTCACTGAACTTACTCACAAATCTGTCCTTGTTCTTACCCTAAATTCTGAGAATTAAAACTGGGATGACCAAGGCTGAACAGTACTTGAAAGTGGCTGTGTGTTAATGAAGAAGAGGATTGAGGATGGGTTTATGCGGATTGGGTTTGCCAGAGAGTCAAATTAACTGGTTTTAGAGCAAAATTTGAGAAATGAATACAACAGTGTTTGACTTAAAAAAGAGATTGAAGAAAAATAAGATGACTACTAAGGTGAGGTGATTTTTTCTGGGTTAGGAATGATTTCGGAAAAGATGAAAAGTATGTCATTTACTTCCTTAAATGCTTCTACAAGCTATGGATCATTCTAATTAAAATTAAATTGATACTATTTCTGTCACGAGTTATTTAAGATTTGATTCATGAAATATTAATGATTCCCATAGCTGAATAAAATAAGAAGAATTCCTAAGAAGTACATGACTGACCCTAAGAAGTAAGCCCAAATCTGGAGCATTTAGAATCATGAAGAGTAGGTTCAACAGAATCAAGAGTTGTTCTCATGAGAAGAAGGTCTTTGAGGAAAGATTGAAGTTCTTAAGAAGTGGAACTAAAGAAAAACAGTCCTCCAAAAGCAAAAAGATCAGAAATATTCCAAAATTTAATTCACTTTCAAGAAAACCACATAGGTAGCGTCGATGTGTTAGAATTTTAGATTTTTGAGTCCAGCTGTCAAGCTGATCAACAAGCTTATTCTCAGAGAAGCAAACTCAGGAGGATCATCCTGGAGGAAGAATTCCAAAAGGAGAACCCCTTCTAAAAAATTGATTAAAAAGTAAGTTTCATAATAACTTCAAACATTGCTGAAACTTTATTTTGGTAAGGAGTAAACCACAAATTTACCATAAATTTTAATTTTATGCTTACCTAAGAGTCCAGAACTCTGATTGTTGATTTAGAAGAATTAAGTTCAACTTGAGAGCAAAGCTCTCAAGGCTAGTTAAGCCTGAGAAGTTAAAGAAATCTCACAAAGTCAACATATCCAAGATATTCGGAGGTTGGGAAAGATTGTAATTTTTAGGTTCTGCAAATTCGTCTTTGAAGCCAGCTATGGCTGAGAATAAACGATACAGTCATATTTGCACAATTCAGCCTTATCATGAGCAAAAAGAGCATGCTCATAGAAGAATGTCTGAGTTTGTTCACATAGACTCTGAATATCAAAATTTTGAGGTTTACAAATCAATGAATCAAGATAAAGGATCTGTCAATATTCAGGACAAATTCTTGCCTGATCATAGATTAGATTCTACCAAAGGTAAGACCCATAGGAGCTAGATTAATATCCTCCATGTTACATATTATGATAATCTCTGGAATTTAAAGACTTATAGTATCTTTCTATACCATCCTGTTCCTCTATCATATTATGCATCTTAGATTCATGATTCAGATGCATTAAACAATTTATTATTAAGCTCCCAAACTGAGCACCTCTTTTACTTACTGCTTATTGATTATTACTATAGGCTTGTGCTTCCCGAACCTAGCAAATGGTAGATGTGTAGAGGTCCTCGACGCTTTCTCTCCCAGATAATTTAAAGCTTCTAGTTTACCAGAAAGCCAAAAATCAGATTTTGTTTCTAAATTGCCTTCTTGGTTAAAAGTTCTCGAGTTTTAGATATTTCTCGACCAAATTCGCAAAATGTAATCAATATATTATTGGCATAAATTACCGGAAATATAAAAGTGTCATTCCAACACGAAATTCGGTGAGAGTTTGTGGCATTATTAGCAGTAGAGTTTTTGGAAGATTATGCTAAATTATCTTTGAATGTCCTGGATTTTACAAACCTTATTTCTGTATTCTTAAGGAACCAATTTTATTAAATAGCAACAAGAGATACCACATACTTTTGTTTTATTAAGAATTTAAAACAATTATGGGTTATGATAAATAATATTTTGAATAAACTCAGTGACTATTTAGCTGTAAAATTTATACTTAACACTTACAGTTAACTCTACTTGATCCTGGGTTGTTTGGATCGTTATTAGGAGCATCAATCTACTAACAAACATTCTTTATATAAGCAAAACTACCAAAAATTGTTCTACTTCTACTACTAATTTAATAGATTTTTAAGTTCAATCTGCTCACAGCATTACGGGGTTTTGGGGTTTTGGGGTTTTGGGG